CGACTGACTAAACTTCTGAGATTCTAAAAATTTTGAAATTCTGACTCATCAGAAATTTTTATGATTCTCAATGGCCGAATAATAACCAGCTTATAATTGGCGAGGAGCCTAGATTCAATTCAATTCTGGTCCTAAATTCTGCACTCCACATTTCCAAGGTTCTAGACATGCACGATAAGTCAAGATCTCTGGGATTCTAAGTGTCTAAGATCCAGAATGCGATGACTCTGAATTCGTAGATTACAATCGTAGCTTGGAATAGAATCCCACAAATATGTAATTCTGAATCGCAAGATTCTACAACGAGAAGTTGGCTGTAGATTCCGATACCGTGGATTAGGTCATACGCTCGAATGGCAGTTCAGGACAGGTATATCGTGACACTTGGGTCGTGGATTATTAGGTGCCACGGACCAATGGTTTATCGGGACATGTGCCTAGATCATGGATCTGGAAATTCCATGTCCCCCTTGTAAAGGTAGATCTCGTAACTTCAAGATCATGGACTTTAAACTTTGATGGATGTTGAAGTATGTTACGAGTTCGGAGATAGTCACAATATATATAGCTTGTGACACTGTTGTTCTAGAATGGCCAGAAGCGCCAGTTCTGTATTATATTGTAGTATAGTCTAGACTGTTTTCTTGGCCTCAAGATCTTGGAATTGAATATTTCAAATTTTTACGGTCTTTCTAGTTGGATTTCTTTTTGTGATGGTCATTTTTTGGTTTCTGTAGTTTCTGTACTTTCCGATTTGATAGTGATTTAATTTTCGTAATCGATGAAATATTCATTGACATTCCGCTGTTGTTAATTATAAATATTTCTTGAATAATCAATTAAATTAAATTAAACATTTGTATTTCCTAATATTTAAATATTATTTAATTCAATTTATGACGAAACGTTGAACATTAAATTGGATTAAGTTTATCTTTCAATTGGAAAATTATTAATTATTGCATTAATTGAATTTTAGTATTTAAAAATTTCAATTTGATTTTTTTTCGACTAAAATATTTAGTAAGTTTTCATGCATTTATAGGAAATTTCAAGCTATAACTTTTCATTTTTTTAATTTTCTAATCATTTTATTCCTTTTTTATTATTTCAATGCACAGACTGTTAGAACTTTTTTTATAGATAAGACAAATATCTATGTTAATTCTATTTCATTAATCATCTTTATAAAAATATAAATACATATATCTGCATAAAAATCCAATCTATCAATGACATGTTAATGATATCTATTTTCTTGTCCCTTTTCTTATTGTTCCTTTGTTTTTTACAAATTTTATCGTCATTCATACCGTTGCCATTTACTTTAAACAATTTTGTTTTTTCCATCATTTATCGTTCCTCAGGGTTTTGCCGAAAGATTGTAGTCATTTATATCCAAGTCTCGACATAAACTAAATTGTTTTTCGCGCTCCGATTCTTCGATTTCTTTCGTGATCGTACATCTAATTAATATATTGCTTGGCAATATCGCTTCCTTCATTTTCTCGTTTCTTGTTTCGAGCCAACAGTAATTTCTTTCGCGCTTTCCTTTCGACACAAAGACTTTACAAACAATGTTTTTCTTAGCATGATTAATCCACAACAAATGAATGCTGTTTTATTCGTTAGTTCTTTTTTTTCCCCCCGACAATATCATTTCTCAATTATGTCTAACTGTTTCAATCACGTTTAATAAAAAAAAAAATTATTGCACTCATGAATTAATTACGTCGTCAGTAATAAAGTTTGAAGTTTCGAAACGATTTTCGCAAGGCTTGCAATACTGCGCGATAGCGTGTCGTCGAGGGGAACGTTTCAATGACCGTGAAGTCTTGAATCGGTGATGCTATATCGCCAATATCGATTTACTCTATTTATTACAGGATAAATACTTTTTTTCCTTTCACGAAACACACATCGTGATTAGAGAAAGCAGGCAGATACATTTCGACTGAAGTTTATCATGAATTGCACCACTATATGAAACACGTTGTTCTATTTAACAAAATATTGGTGATCTCGAAATTGAAAGAGATATCCTCTATTATTTGAATACAAATTTTAAGATTTAAAAAATTTTTCAACATTCGAAATCTTGTGTAAATCTTGTGTATACAGTTAAATTTAAAACACGATCACTGTAATAATTAATTAACGTGCGAGAATCATTGTTATGTACGATATTGAAAACAAGTATAAGAAATTAAAAGATAATTATTAAATGTCCACTATGTTCTGTTAATTGTATCTTTTCGTTCTAATGAAATTTAGATAGTTTAGTTTGCAACGAAAATACAGATCTTTCTACTCTTTACGAGCAGCTCTAGACACGAGACATGTCATACCGAGAAGAAATAAATCGGTAACGTACGGTTGTTAAACTCGTTAACGCAACTCTTTAACTGTAATCAAGTTGATTAAGAGGGGCAAGTGTGTAATCGATTATTCGGTCTGCACCTTGTTACTTGACTCTATGAACAAGAAATAACATAATACGATCGATTTAATTAATGCAATATATACTGTAAATATTTTTAAATTTATTTAATTTAGTTACAAGTGATTAATTTTCACGATTGAATTTAACTAAGTGACAATTGTGTAATAAATCGTATAAATTTTATAAGTAATTATACATCTACGACTTTGCTATTCACTATGACTGCAATATTAACGCTTTTTTAAAAGTTCTTTTTAAATTTACAGACAAGCTTTCACGAATAACCAATAGATCCTTCTAATCGTCACTCAGGAAAGTGAGTAGTACAGTTAAGAAATTAATAGCAAATATATAATCGCATCTAACATTTTCACGTGAATCACCCTGTATAATCACGATCTTTTATTCCAAATACTTCAATCCATAATTCGTCAAAACTGAATCAAAAAATATTTTAGAATGTTTAATTTTGAGTAACTTCAACTATCAACAAAACAAGAAACAATTACTACAACACTGATGTACAATTTTAAGACGACGTACAGAATGAAATGTACATACCTTTAACATCGTGGCACATAAATAGAAATTGTTCGTGTTAGCCTAAATACCACACTTCAATTTATCACCCTCGTATCCATGATTCGAGAAACATTCCAGGATTTCTATTTTCGAGCCGCAGCGAAAAAGAATTCCTCGAGGAGTGATCCAAAATTCCAGTGACACTTTCACCACCCGTGGGCCCCCGTGCTGATTCATCGGGCCAATTTAACGAAACATCTGGATCTCGTTCGTTGTCATTCCATTCGTTGAACATTCAAGGAAAAGCTTGTCGCTTGTATCAGCGTCTAATCTCTTCTACATGTGTTTCACAGAGAAGAAACGCTCGAACGACATGCGTGAGATTTATAAGGGTCTATTTGTCTGTTTGAAAAGAAGAGCTGGCAATATTCTGCCTGCTTGGTTGAACGATTTTCTTTCTTTCTTTTTTTTTTTTTTTTGCTGCTCTTGGGAAGATACTCGCGTGGGCAGATTATAACTAGCGTCTGTGTGAAAGTGTTGCCGTGGCATTGCAGGCTTGTAACTCGTTCTCGGAATGAACTTCTATCGATTGAACCCGACATCCTGTTCTCGTGCGACGCGCTCACAAGGCCCTTTGTCTTCCTTCAAAGTGGCGCGGCTCCGATCGAAACTGGTTGGTCGTGTTTTTTAATGACTTTGACTCCTTTTCGTATCACTTTTCGTTGCACTTTTGGTTCTCTTACAAAATGTTCGAGTGAAGTTTTGAAATACGTAACGACAAAGAGACCACGATTGGTTTTATAAATTTATCTAAGTTAAATTTAATTTAATTAAATTAAATTCAATCTATCCAACTTGAACTTAATTTGATTGAATTTAATGTATCTAACTTAAATTTAACTATTACGAAGAGAGAACCTTTGCAACGATCTTTCGAACGTTTTCCGAACGCCTTTCGGAATTTTGTAAAACAAATTTCGACGATGATCTCATGAAAGAAGACAGTTTTATACTTCTTTTACAACCGTTCTCCGTAGACTGCAGCCAAAGTTGAACGTTTTTCTTGTTTAAAGTTGTAAACGTCGTTTCGATGTTGGCTCTCCCTTTCTCGAAGGATATGGAATTTTTAACGGGGAATTTATGGGCCACGTTTACTCGTTAAGTCGAATGTAAACGATCTTCTCACTCGAGAAACTGCATTCGGAAAGCATTGTTAAGGATATTAAGCATCGTCAAGCTTCTTTACATGTGTACATTTTATATACAATGCAATCCTTCGCGCTGACTCGTCGTCATTAATTGAAAAACAAATTTAGAAATTTGCACAGTCAAATTTTTCCGTTTACAATTGCATAAATCGATAATATAATTTTTTAATTTCATCCATTAATTAATAAATAAATGTATTTCTTCAAATAATTCAAGAAGTATTTCTTAATTTAAATACAATATTCTTTATTCGAAATTTTACTTTTTTTCAACACACATTAATATCCCAATGTTACGGATAATAAGATGATTTTTCAGTTTCTAGTAAAAATTCTGTTTTAACAACATAGTACTCTAATATTATCCATAATATTTGAACAATAAAAACTCGTGCAAAGGGATATCTTTCTTAAATAAAAAACCAGAATAATAGGAGGAAAGGCGAAAGATCCTCTGAATTAATTTTCGTGCACACAAGTATGCCATAAATCCAGATACAACTCAGAGTGTTGAGAATTTTCAAACAATCTGAACTTTATTACCAAGGCAAAACGCTTCTGCGCACGAAGCGAAATCCGTAAATTTCACGAAGTCTGCGCGTAGAGCAAAAAACAGGGCCAATACGTAACGTGGCCAATTTATTTCGCCGTTCGGCCGTAAAATCGTCATTCTTCACGCTGGACCGTCACCGTCATAATCCGTGTCAGCTAAACGAGTACGAGCCACACGAGACAAGCAGTGGAAAACCTCGCGAGAGTGACGAGCGTGCAATTCGAGCGGTGGCATCGGCCGATGCAGGCGCGACTGCATCCTGGCATTGTGAACAATGTCATTGCCTCCGCGGGTAAAGGCCCTTGCCTGGCCGAGGACGAATTTCCGGCACGCACGATCACCGTCAATGCCAAGTCGAACCGATTCATCGAGCTCCATTTATCAACGTTGACCGCGCGGCGTCGTAAATCTTCTTTAAACGCGTTTCGCGGATTGTCGCGTGCGCGGCATCCAGCCTTGCGACAATGTATGAATACCCGATTAACTGGATCGCTTTGTCATCCATCGGCGATTGAATGATTGAATCGTGACTCGTGGCGATGGTGAGTTCTTCCAGCAGGTTCCAACAAAAGCGAAACTTTTGAAATGAATGGTGAGATAATATTCGAAGCTCGAAGTTAAATCCATTAAAGACTAGCCAATAATTTATCACGATGTCTGCAATACTCTGGTTTCGTTGAACAAAATTGTAGAATGTAGAAGAATGTGAATTATAATAGAGAGATTTACATTAAACGAGATCTTAGAATCTAATGGCAGGCGTTATTTGTATATTTTAGACGTACGAAGATTTTTTTAAATGTTGCAGTATTATATCTCAGATATATGTATATTATTCGTACAGTGAAGATTTTAAAATTGGTCGAATTGTTTGGGACTTCGCAATTTTTTGTTTTCATTTTTCTTTTATAGCTCTCAATTGTAAGCTTCTTGCGTGTTTGTTAATTTGGCACACGTGAGTAGGTTTGTGTAATAGATTCGAGGTAGAAATTCGAATTTTTCACCTACGTTATTACACCTTCAATATCTGCGCCATCTAAAACAATCGAGATTAAACCGTAACGACATTGATCTAACTTAATATTGTAATGATGTTTAATCCAAATTTAACGTTTCAATGAAGCACAACAAAATAGCTAATAATTTAAAAGAATATCCATATTTAATAAAGATTAAATGATAATAATATCATCTCGTGTACGTTATATTAATTTACTATTACTATTATTTACTATTACTATTATATTAATTTACAAAACTCTTCTTTTTTAGTAAAAGAACAGTGAATTAGTAACATAATATTTCAATCGGAATGAACTGTCACAAACATGAAGGAACGACGAATATATTTCGTTCGTTTCAATCGCATGCATATGCATGCGGTTTTGAAGTAGAGTAAATACCATGGGAATTCTGACCGTGTACAAACCTATTTCGAGAAAGCTACACGACAATCTTGCAGCGTGACTATGCGCATTCGGCTCGCACACGAGCGTCTAGTTCCATAGTAAACTTTACCTTGAGCAAATTATAGGATGAAACGCTGCATTTGACCGATCCGTTTGATCGACGCTTACGAGAGGAGTAACACGAGAGTGAAACCGTTTCGTTTATTTCCGACTAACGTCTAATGGCTCCGTTTAATACCATAATCCTGTATTAATTGTATCTACGCGAAGAATTTTTTCTTTTTTCTTTTTTTTTTCTTTTTTTTTTGTTTTTTACGCTTTAATCAACGTGCAACGGAAGTCTACGAGCAACGCACTTACATAAACGTTGCGTTAGGTAATGTATTTCTTCTTTGTGGAAGATTTTGTTTGCTCAACACGTTCAGACAGAACTGCTTCTTCCTTATTGTAATAGACGATAGGTGTAGAAGACATAAACTTTGCTTTTCATTGAGATATTCCGTTCAATTTAAGATAGAATATTCGTATAACGGTGAACCAGATCAGAATGATAAAGTTAAAAATTATGGAGCAATTTCATGCTTTCTTCTGTATTCGAATCTTAACATTTAAAATGATCTTCCAACTCTACGTGGCATTATCTAAAATTTTGCATCGTGACGAATTCTCTCAGAACCACACTAGTATCAATAATTCTCATGAATCTTCGTGTAGATAGAGACTCAGTTTTGATCGTAGAATACAACAAAATTCATCCATCTAAACGTTGCACCATTATTAGGTCTACAAGTGCTATTTTTGTTTCAAAATTCGAAGAATTGAATAACACTTTATGTAACAAAAAATATATTGCACTATACATGTGTCTACAATAAATACTGAATATTATTGAAAAATTTAAAATAAATTCTGTATATTATTAATATTATATTATAAAAAGATTTTTGAGTTGTAGCACATTATAGTGCTGTGTCATACTTTGGTAACATAGCTTAATAAGCTAATTAATTACTACAGTGCAATCCAACCATGTTAATTGCAAAACTCGGCAAGATCGTTGTGCATTCTTCATGAATCTTGATGTTTACACGAACAATGTTTTATATTCCTTGGATCAAATCTTGTCGAAGGTTGAACTAATAAGAGAAAAAATATTATTTAACACGCCTCGGAAAGAAACGCCTACGTTTGCATTGCATAACACACAGATTGCGTCGATTTATTAGACGATTATTATCGTCATTTTCTATCATTGAATTTCGTGATGTACATTGTTATTATTATTACTATTCAACGAAGAAATTTATCGATTCTCGTTATTTTTTTTTTTTTTTCACAACAAGATAACAACTAACGATTTTACGACTGCTGGGTAATTTCTTAATTTACAAGCTCTTTTATACATTATTCAGATGCTCGAGCGATCAACATTTTCGTCGTGAAATCTCGATGGCGCGGACGTTTGTCGAATGGCGATATAAAAGTTAGAATTTGTTATTTGGAGAGTGTCATTCAGTCGGGCGGATTTTTGTATTCATCGGGAGATTGTTCGACACCTATGTGCATAGACTTAAACGAGGATCCTCTTGGCGCCGTAGAAACACACGGACTCTGTAATTTATATTGTATTTCCTTTTTTTTTTCTGTGATGTCTATGTATTGTTTTGTTAATTGAAAAAAAAGTTCAAATTTCGTTTCGTATGAAATGCCAACTTTTATGAAAAGCGTTTTTTATAACATATATGGAATTTAGAAATATATACCTTTTTTTTATCTTCAAGCACTATAAAATATAGAATAGCATCTAAATTTTTATTTCGAGTAACTATGAAATAGTATATATTAATGCTAGCTACCATTATTAAGAGAATTACAGGAGATGTTAAAATTATATTTTTGAAATTAGATAGAATAAAAGAAATATTTTGTTAATTATTACGAATTATACCTTGTATAATTATATTTGCAAAGAGCGAAACCGATCATCAAACACTCAATAGAAACTTTTGGTAAAAAGAAATTAACAAGGTAGAAAATACAGAGAAAGTGAAGAATAAATATTTGTTAACGTTAAATTTTTAGAAATTCCAAAATGTTTGGAAATATTAATTTAAAAGTTTTCCACGATCGTTCCGCGAAATCTTTCGCCCAATTTAATCAGAGGAAAAGGTTTTGCGGCGGCACACAAGGGACGATCTTGTTGCCAAGAGAATTCCCGTCTGTACTCGCCGGAGTCAACATCCCAGCCATATTTTACGTTCGTGTTTCCTCCTGTTTCAGCGCCAAACAGCCCACTCCATCTTAGCAACAGGGCTCACGTTTTACTTCTGCTGAATAGGCCTCAAGCCTCCCTCACGGATGCTGATCATGCAGTAAGGCTACGACCGGACTGGGGCAAGGTGAGAAACGTTTTTTTTTTGTCATGGTACATTATCGAATTAAAGTGGCATGCGGCGAGCAATGAACGTGCAGATAACTTGCGTTGTGTGTGTATAACTTATTGGTCGTTTTAATTTATCTTTTACTTTCTGTGAGATGAAATATCAGGTAGAACTCAATAAATAACTTTGTGTTTGTATAATTAAATTTAAAGAGGATGAGGATTGTTTAAAGGCAAATTTAATGCATTGCACAAAGGAATGAAAGATAATACATCCCTGAGCTCGAACGCCTTTGAAAAGTGAGGTGATATCTTTATGAAGTCTTTAAAGCCTTAATATATCAACAATTGTATTAGAAAATATACGTACGTGCAATTTTAAAAAATTTTATAAAAAACTTATAATCTATGGAGGATTTTTGAATAGTAATGTGCATATGGATTTTTTTTTCTCATTGCCGACGCTTGAGTTATTATAATTAATATTTGAGTCAAATATTAAATATTAAATATTGAATTATTAAATTATAAACTAGATAGCTATTTAATTAATTTCATTCAAATTTTATATATTTGCCTCTTATAATTATATTTTTCTTTTATACGTATATGATATAAAAGTGATACGTAAAAAAAAAAAAAATTATGAATGACTAAAATTGATTATATAGGAGCATAGTCAATCGAATTTTTTTTACATGGGGACAACCATAATATAAGAGGCAGTGTGTTCCTCCTTCTTGGCACGTTGTTCGATCAGATGTTTGGCGACGTATTGTTTCCACCCTTAACCCAATTTTGGTCTAAATTCATCCAATCCACGTGTGATGTATTATTTCCAACTGAGATCCGATGGTTAGATTAAATTTCTAATCCAAAGCAAGAACTTTTTTTGAGAAACAGAAGGAATTTTTCTTCGATTCAATTGATTTTATGTAAATCTAGTTAAATTTAGTTAATATTGCATGTTTCTATTAAAAATTATTACAGCTTACTGTTAACAATATTTTGATCTTTTTCGATCATAAAATGATAATTCCTAAATTTGTTAAACTTATCTCTATTTTTTATTGTTATAACTATTATTACTACATCCCGAAGCAAAAATAGCTCAGTCTTAATTTCATGTCCATCAGGTTCTATTAGACAATGTGTAAAGTATGAAACAACGAACGAATGTTTTACAATAGATTCAATGAAATTTACCATGTAATAGCTGCATTACTTGTAGTATTGACGTAAATTGATAATATGATTGACGGCTTGAATCATAGCGAGATAACATTATTGTTAACAATGGAAATGTCATATAGCATAAGCAAAAAAGCCGGCATCATCCAGCGATAAATAGATAGAAATAAAAATGATTGTCCATATTTTTTTTTTCTTCGCGCAAACTAGATATATGGTTTAAACTTAATGTTTTCGAATTTTCATACAACGAATTAGTTAAAAGCGAGTAAACTTTAGAGTATTCTATTTCACAGTAATTATTTCAATATTAATATTTGCATATCTTTCAATTTGTCGATCAAATTCTTCTTGTTTCTACGCCTGTGCGTCGTTTAATAACTTTATAGTTGGTTTTATATCTTGGTACCGTTACACAAATCATGCCTTCAGAAACGTCAGTAAAAGTGAAAACTGAAAATTAAAGACAACTGTGTTTATTCGAACTATATATTGTTCCGGGAATATGATAGAAAAATTTGATAAATTTATATGTTCAGATTATAAATTT